CTGCTATTACTCGAAAATCCACAAAAAGTTTGTTCTTCCATGAATTCGAAAGAAATGGAACTTTGAAAAATTAATTAACGTAAGTGCTTTAGAATCCAAGGAACTAATGATCTTATTAAAATATAGTTGTTTTAGAATCTAATAAATTAAGAAAGTTTGATAACTTAGAAATTTTGTAATGCAGGAAATTATATGAAGCTAATGCCCAACAAATTGCTCCAAAAATTGGAAGTCTAAATACTCAAACATCTCAAATATCTAACAAACTCAAAAATCTAATTTCAGGAATTTGAAGAATTCTTACACAGAACAAAGAATTTGCTGCAGCAGTAAACTAATTTGCTATATATGAACAGTTAAACATAATTCGCTGTTAGCTACTTTTTCTTTGCTGCAGCAATCTATTTTCTTGCTATGATAACAAGAAAATCTGCTCGTACAGCAAGACAAGTAGCTAACGCAGCAAATTTGCTATAGATGGACGACTAAACATAATACTGTTTTAGCTATTTTTTTGTTGCAGGAGCAGATTTTCTTATTATCTTAGCAAGGAAATTGGTTCCTGCAGTAAAGAAAAAGTGGCTAATACAGCAAATTATGTTCAGTTGTCCATATCTTTTTTCCGTGTAGAACTGAGGCTGCCAACCGTCTCAGATTTCGTTATTGGAGAGCGGTATGAATTCAGAAAGGTTCGACTTGCGATTTTGAAGCCGCGAGATTCCGAGGACCGCAGAATCCGAGAGATCTCAGCGTCTAAAGCGTGCCGAAGATCAACATGTCGGTAAGTCAGATGGAGTCGAGAAAGCAAGCTCACTTTTTTCGATCGAGACGCAGGAAACGAAGGAATTCAACGGTGTGTGTTTGAGGTGCATTCTTACCCGACTGCGGTGAGATTGCGTCCGTCTGGGATTGCGAGTCACGGGGTACTGAGCTTGCAAGACACATCCAGGCCAACAGACCACGCTCGCAAGCCTCGCGACTCGCAAACTCTACGTCTATCGTCTCTCCCACCCACCGTCGCCCACCCGCAACCCTGTCGGCACACTCGCAACATTTTCCCTCCTAGACGTGCAATCCGAATCGTACGAATTACTGCCGTATGATAGAAAGAGCAAATAAGTAGGTAGCCGAGCGACGCTACGCGGAGAGAATTTTACAATGAAAATTACCGTAGAATTTTATAGCTGAGGAATAGATCGACACATTCTAAACTCACTACACTGAAAAAAAAAAACGTTTAATATTTGTAACTATAAAATCACATAGAGAAATAATTACTATACATTATGTGGTCATAAAAATAATTTTTATTCAATTCTACTGCAATGTTAGTAATAATAATCTTATATGCATGTCATTACAAAAATTGGAAAAAATTTATATGAAAATGATAAAGCTATAAAATTCTCTCCGTGTATCTATCTAATGTTCACGCAATCTACTGCATTTTCTTAAGGTCCTTTTATGCAGCAGATGAAGAACAGAATGGGCAATGCGCGAGGCAGAATAGAATGCTTAAATTCATAGATTCTCCACGATTTTCCGGACTTGACGCGGCGCCCAAGTGAAAAATATTGGAATCCTCGGACTGTCCGGTTAAATCTGAACAGTCGGGTTTCTGAAATGAGAAACGATAATTAGTCCTGTAAATCTGCGACGTGTTCGTAACGGTCGCCGCGGAATAAAATCCACTTGTTCGGCATTTACAGGCTTTTCTGTGCCCACCGATCCAAGTCCTCGATTTTGAGTCTATCCGCGAATATAACGACTGTCGAAAATACGCAAAGTCGAGCTATCCGTTTATTCACGTCACGAACCACATCGTGTGGATTTTTCCTCTCTCTCTTTTTTTCGGCCGATTGGCAATTATCGCAAGCGATTTGTTCCGGTGCGAGTGCGAGCTATTTCGAAGCGCGAGACAAGGATATGGAAGCGATTAAAGTGGAATAAATAGTAAATCCGCGTGTCGAAGGGGCAGAAAGAGAGAGAGAGAAAAGGCGATAAATCGGACTGCAGGCGAGACGATTTTTGCGTTGCCGCAGCGATTTGTACGGTATCAATTTGTCATTATTATACTTGCCAAAGCACGAGCTTTCGCGCAAGCTTGAGAATAACGCGAACTGCGCTCGCAATTCGCAAAAGGCGATTAGACGCCAAAGCGACGCCGTGATTGTCGACACGAAAGGAACGAACTTGAAGCTATCGATGATAATAGATAAAAGCGATGCAATCGCGCGGCGAGCCTTGACCGAAAGCTACCATTTCCGACGCCAAGTGTGTGTGATATTCAACGTGTGAGATGCTCGATAAAGTCACGTGGCTTGCGATTAACCCTTTATTTGATGATGTTGCTCTCAAGCCCATGAGTTCTATGCAAGAGCAATAGATACGGCACACTTTTATTAGCAATGTCGTTCTGGAGCAACATCTGACTACCTGTTCTATTCGTCGATGTCTCAGTAGATTTTTGCTACTGGAGGATAACAATTTCTTTCTTTCTTTTCTCTTCACATAAAAGGGTTTATCAAATAAAAGGTTCACTCGCTATATATGGTGAAGTATAAATTTGATATTGTATTATGAGATGTGCGGTATTCTATCTGTATAAAATATTTTACATTCCCTATAGAACTGTTTTATAATTTTTTTCTTTCTCTTCTTTTCACATGAAAGGGTTTGTCAAATAAAAGGTTCACTCGCTACGTACGGTGAAGTATAAATTTGATATTGTATTATGAGATGTGCGGTATTCTGTCTGTATAAAATATTTTACATTCCCTATAGAACTGTTTTATACAATGTATAAAATAAATCAACTTATCAACTTTATCGTATTGGTACTATAATTCACAAGGAGTAACGCGTATATGTGCGCGTGATATATACGTGTGTATATATATTTATAAAAGAAGTGTATTTCATAAAAATTATTTTATTATTTTATAAACAAATTATTTCCACTATTCCATGAAAATTTTATATATACGCGCAACGTAAGCTGGATTATTGATGCTTTCGTTATTCACATAGACGTGTCTCTCTTTGTTTTGCCGACGATGTGCGCTGCCAGTGACAAAAGAAACGATTTAATGACCCGCTCAAATTCCGCTCCCGGCTCGCATCGACAGCGCACGATTTCGTATTATTTACATACTTCCATAAATATACACCGCCGCGCACCACGTGCCACGTATGTGCATGCGAGTTTCGTGACTTTTCGATCATCCTCTATCCATATTTCACGTACGTATCTCTGCGGTGTCTGCGGAGTAAAGGCCGGCGAAGCTGCTGATTTTCCCACAGTTATCAAGGCGGACAGCTTATCGGCGCTCCGAAGGCCGATCTATTCGACTCGGCGGCGTGATTAAATTGAAACACCATTTCCTGAGGCAAGCCAACGATACGACAGTATCGCGGCCTGGCATAAACATTACGTAACGTATCGACTGCGCGAGGAAAGCACAGTTTCCCATTGTCCTCTTGTCTCACGAGATTAGTTGAGTTCTCCTCGCTCTCTGTTCCCCGATCTGATTTATCGTCTTTCACGTTTATTTTTAATGTTACATAATATCGAATCACAAACAGCACGCTCACTGAACGTCTTCGAGTGAAATTCCACTCGAGAAGCAGAGCGACAGCCAAGTTGCTTGAATTGTAACACTTAATAATTCGCTTGAATTCTCCACTCTGAATCGTCGAGCGAATATTTTTACTTGAAATCGAAAAGAGAGAATCTAACGTATCCCGCCGTCGCAGGAATAAATTCACTCCGATCGATTAAAACTCAGCTTGAGTTAAACATTCACTCTTACCATTCCGAGAGAAGCTTTGCGTGAGTTTTCATTCGCCTTGGGATTTCACTCCAAGAAATTTACGAGAATGCAATACAGATGGTAAGTATTCTATTTCTTTAGAATATCTATATATATATCTATTTCTTTAGAACACACACACTGACAACAAAATTGTTGAACTGTCTACTAACTGGGGGCGGGAGAATCTAAATCATTACTAATAGTGACAAATGTATATCATAAATCAAGTTACAGTATAAAATATCTCGTGTAGAGATATTAATTTACTTTATACTTGTAAATGTAATTTACAAGTAGAATCAGACAATTTGATACACGAGCGGTATTAACTTGTAAATTCCTTCGTCGTTCCGTCCGGAATATCGTCAGTTTTTTGTAAACGATTACGAATTAACGACGATCTCACGTTGCGAATGCATCGGATTTCCCGCGCGAGCGAAACAAGGAATGTACGCGCAATTTATAATTTCACGCTCGAACATTCCGAATTCGGAGAACACAAAGAAGTTGAGGGGAGAGGAATCGATCGTTCGGGGTGAATTAATATATTCAAGAAGATTCGGAAGCGCTGCGGCGGAGCCAACCGCGAGCGGAAAATAAAAGAATGCGAACAGATTTCATCGGGGCTGCGGCGAACTTCCGGCGAGTAAAAAGGAAAGGCACGTGCAACGCTATTCGCAAGTATCTCTCCGAGTACTTAGTGCAAAGTATCGGAGTACTTGGAGGATTTTAAGTGGCGATCGGGAAGTTTCCTGTATCGACGGCATCGACAAGAACGTGCGGTCTGCTTCGGCGTTCTTATCGCGTTAATCGTATTACCGGGATATCGGGAACGATTATAATCTCTGATAATAACGAGGAGACGCAATAATGCCTTAATGATTGTTATTAATTGCGCTCTTAATGATTGCTGGAACAATGAGAACCGTTATTTCGCCTGCCGCACAGTTAGTGATGGAATAACGTGAGAGAAAAATGTAATTTTTATGCATATCGAGGATTGAATTAGCACGCGCGTTATAACCTCCGTTTCGCTTCGTTTCACGAGCCACGCAAAACACGAAACGAAAAACGAAAATCCACTACTTTTCAGGTCACCGATTTACGCTGCAAACTTCGTGCGCGTGTTTATTCTCCGTGAGTTTAAAAAGTTTGGAGAATTTTTCGTGGACAGTGCGCATTTACCTGATAGTCACGCGATAGGTGCGACCGTTCTCTTGCTCGACCCGTGAAAAGAGACCCTCGCATAACCGTGGGATGAGTCCTGGATCTTCCTGGAAAAGCGCAAAAATTACAACCTAATTGGCGAGTCTTTCACCGTAAATTCTGAAGTCTCTCGCCGTCTCTCGAGTAATAGATAACTCTTGACAACTCTTGTCAGTTTGCAAGTATTCATTTTTCTAATAACGACACGAATTGCACTATAAATTTGTAATTATTCTCTTTAACGTTTCTTACGACTGGAAATTCAAGAACCTTGATATAATTACTGATCTTATAGTAACGATATTTTTTAAGATATTAGCATGATATTATTTGAAGATAATTAAAGAATTCCAGTAATATGAAACATACATCAAAAAACACGAATAGTGTTCTGCTTAATGAGGTGAATCAAAATTATATCTTACTGATTCGCATGTATTTTTCGATTAACTAAGTTACCCGCTTTTGATATTCGCGACAAGTATTTCTGTAGGATCCGCAAACGATCGAAAATAAAATAGAGATTAACGAGAAGGTAGTATTTATCGTCTGGCGATGGCGTAGGGTCAGTCAATAAAGCTTATTCGGACCGGAAACAACGCGCCGCGCCTTAACGAGGGGTCTTGTCAATTTCGAAATTTGATGCATTATTAACCAACGCTCGAAGCGTCCTTTTATAATTGAAGCCCGACAAACGAGTGCGCTGCATAGCTGCAACACGTGCTGCGCTTTTAAAAGTCTGCTCGACCACCCATCCCGTCGCCGCCACCACCGCGCAATGCATCCCCTAACACCACTCGGATGCACCCTCGGCGTGCGTACGCGCGCGCGGATACGGCGGAGGTCGGCGGGCAATTTAATTAAGCGCCATTCCGCAAAAACAGTTTCAATTTACTGTTTGAAATTTTCGGGACGAGAAACGGAACGTCGATTCGATTCTGCAACGAGAACGCCGCTCTCCCTCTTGTCGGCCAATTAGAGCCGGCGATGCGATATGATAATTTAGCGAATGGAATTGGCTGACGAGCAAAGAGGAGATGGAGGAGGAAGAAGAGAAGGAAGAGGAGGACGAGGAGGACAACCGATAATCAAATTGATGCTGTTTGAACTTTAAATATACATCGGCCGTTTTATGCGGAATGCGAAATGCCCAGTTTTGTGCGAAGCTATTGTGCCAAGTTGGAGATGGTTGGAACTAAATATTATTTCTCGTAGAAAAGAAGAGAGATTTGTTGATGCAATTAAAAATTTTAATAACTTAAAAAGCGATAGCAGTAAAATAACAACTAGTTTTCCACGTTAATTAAGCCTTGGAGCGACGCAAGATTAGTGATTGAACTCAAGAAAATTTAATTTTATAGTACGATAGAGTTGTTGGTATAACACAGACGATTCTCTACCGAGACCAATGGATAATATAGCTTAGGATATTGAATGAAACTTATCTATTGAGATCTTTTTGTTGTTATATCAAAGAAAATCTGACATATTAACGAATTTCATTATTGCCAATAATTAGTCGCTCTAGCAATAAAAGTCTAAATCAATATTGCTCATAGTGATAAAAAATTGCTTTTTGCGCCTGTAAAAGTTTGTGTAATGTTAATATACACGTACTGATGTGGCTGCAGCTAAATTGGACCGCTTCTCCATAAAAAAAACAAAAATCTTTTTTTATCGTGTATGTTAAGTAAATGTAAGTATGAAATGATTTTTTCATAGAGTAAATAAATTTGTTCTGCAGACTTGAATGAGTAGGTGAAAATACGAAACAATTTGCTACAATAACTAAAATTACACCTGCGACAAAAATGGGCTGGCTCTATAAGCAGCTTGACAAGATCAGTCTAAAATTTTATTCAGTACAGCCACTAATCTTACCTAGCTCTGAGGCTCGATTGCAGTAACATAAAAAATACTAGCTATCCATATATTACAGCCATATATTCTCTGAAATAACGATTCCAACAGCGAATCCTTTTTTCCGGTGATATCATCGTCGCGAAGGACAGAGAGGATCCTTCCGAAGGGACGGCAAGATTAATTATCTACGCGATCTTCGCGAGAGGTCGCGCTAAAAAGTTAATAAGATTTCCTGGCGAAATTAATTGACGCATCACTCGGCCCAGCCGTGCGGTGACTCTCAAATCGGGACACGTGTGTACGTACGCATTTTGCACGGATATTTTGCGCGAATATTGCGAAAACGTCAGCGCGTACAGCACTGATGACAACAGAACGCTGCCCGGCCGAATAAAAGCAAAATAGATTGCACCCGCACATTGTGTGTGCGCGCGCGGGAAATAAAAAAGAAACGAAGGTGAAAAAAAAATATGCAACCGGGAAAAAGAATAACGTTTTGCGATGTATTAATGAAACGCGAAATAAATCAAAATAATTCGGCTCGCGCGGCGCGTACGCGCCTCGCTTTTGGAAATAATACCGTCGACGTACTGACAAAACGGCCGCACGCTCGACGATGCATGGAAGAGGTCTATTATGCCCCACAAAAATGGAAATAAAGTGCCAATCAGATTTATTACGAGATAAATCGAAACAATTTGCACATTGCACGTTGACCCGTAAACACATCATCGCCGGTTTATTCGGATGGCAAAAGAGTTCCGCGACGCTGCCGTGCGAAAACAACGCTGATAAAATAGACATAAAATGCGAAATGTATTTTCGCGGACGACGCGGGCGTGCTCGAAATCGCAAATACATTTTCTCCATATACAGAGCGTCTCTCTTTCTCTATCTCTCTCTCCTTGTCATCGAACGAAATTTCGATTTCAACGGGCTCACTGACAATTTTCTTTTTTTCTTTTTCTTTTTTGATCGATTAAAATTGATCTTTCTTACGATATAAGGATAGTTTCCTTCTTCATTAACGAGGGAGAAAAACTTCATTGAGGAATACACATTTTCAATACTCACAATCGGCAATTCGGAGGTGTCGTCTCGTTGAGAGGCAAAAGTTAATATTATAAACGCATTAATATTATACATGTGGATTACAATAGTTTGCAATAACTCGTAATACCATTATAAATTATTATTATTTAACACGCGGCACATTTGCACATTTCGTGACGTGTCGCCATTATAAAGTCAAAATAAGCTAAACGCTCGATTATTCATGCGTCCGATTATCGGGAATCCGCGCCAAGTAAATTTATAATTAATCGCGTTTGAAATTCTGAAATTAAGAAAAATGTTCAGAAATTATATTAAACGCGCCGCGCCGCGATACATTTTACATAGTGTCCGTGAATGCAAACTAAAATGCGGAAATTAAATTATGCGGTGGGTCGCACATTAAATTCCAACGATAATCCCCCGTCCAAATAATCCCGACGGAAAATTATCATGAGAGAGAAAGAAAATGTGTATATGTGTGTGTGTGACACGCGTTTCGCGCGTTACCTTCGTGCCCATCATGGTGTAGGTCTTGCCGGACGCACTCTGCCCGTAAGCCACCAGGCAAGAATTATATCCTAAGAACATCGCGTCCAGGATGGATTGGCCTAGAGTCTGGTAGATCGTCGCCTGCGTCACGTAATTCTTCGCTTCGGGATCCGACGAGTCAAAGCAGTAGTCGAAACCATACCTTCGCGTCCTCTCGCGACTGTCCCCGGCCTTGCTCGATGACACCTTGAGATTCGTCAAGGAGATCTCGTTCAGTTCCGAGCGGACCACCACCTGGGACCCGGTCAGCTTTGATTCCCTGTGCGATTAAAAAGGTGAACGACATTGATGCATCATTCATCTGAACTCATCGGCAATAAGCTCGGCGGAGATGATAATAATTAATAAATATCATTGAATGCGTCAGGATTATACAAACTGATGCTTTATTATGTATTGATGTCTGTAAAAAATAAGGATTCACGTGGTAATTTTCAGAGATGCATCGTGCAGTGTGTCATTATTAAGATAATAATTAAGTAAATGTACAGATGTAGGCTCGAGAAAGATTCAGACACTTGCAGTACTCCTTAAGCTCAATAAAAAAACACAAATCCCTTCGGAGTAAACATCGAGTTTCTGTTTTATGAATACAAACCAGCTATCCGCGGCGATGCAACGCGAAAACGACAGATTATCCTGTTATATTGCTTTACTTACAGAAGATTTAAATAATAAAACGATAAAATAATTCTACGTAGTCACTAATAATCCTTCGTTTCTGCGCCGTGAACGACGCAAAGTGACTCACTCTGTCGAAGTAAAAAAGTGTTATTTACTTTGAAAGAACTTTTTCACGACGCTGCGTTGAACAAACACTTTTTTCATTTATTTTCGATAATTTAATGTAACAAATAATTTTTTTATCGAAAGCTTAGCGATTCTTTATCCGACTGAGCAGATACCACAAATTTTGTAAACTTCTCAACCCCTTTTAATACTCGACAAGATTCAAGAAGAACCTACAATCTAATGAACCCAGCAGAAACTGGAGATTTTCAAGAGATGCAATAGAAATCTGCACCTATAAAGAATAAAAACGAAACTTCCGTCAATTACTAAGAATTGTATGACATTTCCAAACTTTATGACGTACCACACGAATCATTTCGTTACAGAGGATTTGCGGAATCGCTTGATTCAACGACAAAAGGAGAAATAACGAGTCGAAATATTGGCAAAGGGGCCGGAGGGGCAAGAGGCAGGGTCAATGAACCCGAGAGCACTGCGGACAGCTTTGCTAACGTTTTCGAAGCCGGCATCGTTTTATCACTTTCCTCGTCGGCACGTGTTACCGCTCTTTTTATTCTATCCTCTTGTTTTTTTGCCAGGCACATTTTTTCATGCTTCGTGGATTGGAATCGATTCATCGAAAAACGGCCGCGCGGCGACGGAGGCGGTAGCGGCAATGCATATACCATGCGTCGCGTTCACACGGGGGCGTGCGCCCCCTCCGTATTATTTAATCGAGGGCTTTACCCGATTTTCTCAAAGCGCTCAGCGCGATCACACGGCCATGCTTCTCCAGTTGCTTCATATAAAAAGATTATCTCTTTGGGCTTTAATATTCTGTTAATTTTAAGCTTGTGACATAATGTTCCGTTTTCTCTGTAAGTCTTTTTATATCGCGTGTGCGTACAAATGTGTCTTCCGAGAGATTCATATTTTTCGCTCGAGAAAAACTGATTCGAGTTTGTTCGAAACGTATGTAACGTCATTCCGTGTCACTAAGAACTATTATCAAAAATACGTTCCAAAAGTGTGAAACTTTGCTCGAGTAATAGGTTATGAAATTAAATAAAAATAAAATAATTAAATTAATATAAAATAACCGTATATATAGAGAGAGATTTCCAGAAATTCCAATTTTACAGGAAAACTAAAAAATTGATGATTCTCGTAAAATTACGAATTTTACCACAATTTTTGTCTGTTCGGTTCCATCGAATATATTTATTAAATTCCGTTTAATAAATGAAGCCAAACACAAAAAATTGTGAAAAAACTCGTAGTTTTACGAAAGTTACCAGTTTTTTTTGGCTCTCCTGCAAAATTGAAAATTTGTGAGTTAGATTTTCTAGTTTGACTTACAATATATATTTTATATTTAACCAGTATAGACAACAGAGACAAAATTTCTATCTGAACTATTTGTAAAACGTAACAAGAAAATATTTCTCTGTGTACACATACAAAAAAGGAAAAGAAACACAGTGGGAAAACTAGACAACCTAATGATTGAAAAAGAAAGTCGAGGAACGGCAAGTTTACAAGGATGAAAAGTATGGCATTTTAGTAATCATTTATCAATGGTTTATTAACGGGAAAAGAGAAAGTCTTTCGTTACATAAGAAGGAAAAATAAAGTAGCGTGATTTCGGGTGCCTTCCGGGCTTCGAAGACGAGTCGCATGCAACAAGTCCCAGGGAGATCGCGCCGAACGCGCGGTTTACATCGCGAATTACAAACGCGCGGCCGCGGTTTCGCGTTTTCGGGTCAACCCAGTGTCGTGTGGCGCTGCATTTTGCGTGCCAGGACATACGGCAAGCGTGGCTATGTGTCGCGACATCCTCGCACGCTATAGCGAGTGTATGCCGTAGGAGCAATGCGGTACTTTAACCCCGATTTTCGCGTGATCCTATCGGTTCCCGTTAGGTTCCCTCAGCCCTAATAATTGAAAGTACGATTTCGTGTCACGCTTCACGTTTCGCGAGCACGAAACCCGAGATACCCATTGTCAATATGTTGCACAAGCGAAGAACGATCGAGCAGTGACATTATTCTCCCCTCGAAAGGGGGAAGCTGTTCGAAAGAAGCGCTAAAATGCAAATTCTAGAATGGAACGAAGAAAAGGCACGAATAGAATTTATAGATTTCATCGCTTCTTTTTTTTATTTTATGCCATATTTAATTGCAAAAATGACCATATGATATGAAAGCGTAATGAAAATTGAGTAACTACATTTAACGTCAATTGGTTCTAAGCCAAATGAACATTCATTAAATTTCTTTTTTATTTTCAACGTAAATAAAAAAAACGCAACAAAAAATAATCTTTAAAATTACGATTGGAAAAAATGAGGTATTGAAAAGAAATAATATCAAGTGCAAAATTAAATTAAATTAAATTAAAATAAATTAATTATGAAATTTGTAATAATACAATTTGACATCTTCAATTTATGAAAGTTAGCATTTTCTAAAGTGCATGTAATATATTATAAAACCTACAGCATCATGATTCAAAATACTGCAACTTATTCATCTACGCTCTGTTTATTTATCTTTGCGCTTTAATCACTCAGGAAGGAGCTTGCTAGAAACAGATCGCTTCCAGCGAGGTCGTTGACAAGCTGAATGGTGTAATGGACTTGGGGAATATTATTTTTACTAAGCTCTCGATTTAGATAATCTTCTTCTCTACAAGCAACTCCACTTTCCTCTCTTTCCTTTCGCAGATGCTTTTCATCAATCCCATTTAAATTTATTAAAGCGGAGGTAACTTGATTTCATAAATCTCTTTGCATTATAAGATGCTTAAATTCTTTGATCAACTACAAGTTGACAATTGCTTTTGAACATAATTTCTTTGTTGCATAATGTCAAGTTTGTTCGGTAATAAATGTTGCTCGACGAGCTATAGCTTAGCTGCATTGACCGATCCACTTTCTCGCCACTTTTTGTATACTCAATGAATTCACGTATTTTCCAGACTTTCTCGAGATTCTTCACATCATAACGTTGGACGCTTCGCATGTAATACGAAGAACTGGCGTATCCTCGATTTTCGGCGCGATAGCACGAAAATAACAATACCGGCATGTTAAGACAGTACACGCGTACCTGTCAAGCCGCCACGGCGACTATAAACAGAACAGATGCAGCGGCTGTCAACGTAAGGTCGTCCTCACACCAAACCATGGTGTCGTTCCCGATATCTCCTATGTGGCAACCCCACGCTACGTCAATGGGAGTATTTTCGGAGCATGGATCCATTCGAGCCTCTCTTCCCCCAAGATCATTAAGCGGCCTACTATGCGTACAATTGGGAGTAAGTAACGAAGCGTTTGCGAAGAAAATGGTCGAAGACGAGTAAAAAAGATTATGATCCCTAAGATCTATATTAGATGCAACTTTATGTTTAACTTCTTCGATAAGAAACTTGAGAGTAGATTCGAGATTAAGTGGATTCACGGATTTAATAATCGTAGAAACGACGAGCTAAGAAACCAACCATTTTAAGTACAACTGCGAGTCTAAATGTTTTCATAAGTCGCATGCGAAGAAACATGCGGGAACTTAAATGTTTAATTATATATGTTTAAATATAATAGTTTAATAATTCAGAATCTGAAATATTAAAACTTCAAAGAAGAAAAGTGTAAAAATGTAAAGAAGAAAAAATGTAAAAATCCAAGAACACGAATACTTTATTCCTGATATTTATAAAGCATAAAAAGTCGAGAATTGTGGCATACAATTCGAGTTACAAGATATTACAAGATATTTAAATATCTTAAATTATATAACCTGAAGAATTCAAAATTTAAAGGTATTTTTTAATTAAAAACTTAGAAATTAAAAACTCCCCGAGAACATATGTTACAAATCGAAGGATTTTTAAGATCATAAACGCAAGCACCGAAGATTTACTATGTACCGGACAACGTATACACGATGTTAACGAACTATACATATTTACACGAGTAAAGCTCGAGAGAAATTTGAGCAACGCTTGCATGGTCGCGCATAATTGACTTCGCCGTACGAAATCATTCATTTCCTGCTGTAAATGAATTTCGCGAGACCTCATTCTGTGCCTTTAAATATCCACGGCTAGAGTCTAAATACCAGTTGTATTTGATTCGCACAATTGTGTACAGGGACGCATTTAGAATAACCAAAGTCATCTTTTCAGATAACAAAATTTTATCAAGCTTTCTCTTACTCTCTCTCTTTCTCTTTCTTTTTTTTCTCCTTCTCCCTCTCTCTCTCTCATTTATTCTCTATCATACTTACACTCTTTTGGGAAACAATCTAATTTGTTGAAAGTAAGGCAATATGTTGCTAAAATATTTAAGGGTCGAGCGAGCTCTTGACGGGTGCGCGAGGCCGCGGAGATCCATAATTAAGCTCTCTTAAATTATTCGACTGTGGCGCAGCACGACCGGGTGCACCGGCGCAATGAATCACGCTTTAATTACGATTTGTACCGTGAATAAGCGCGCAATAACTCGCGACAGAAACCTTCGCAGAAGGTCCTCAAGTTCTCGACGCTCAATTGCTTTCGTCTGCGCTTCCGGTGGCTCCGGGCCGCCTCCTACCGCTTGCGGACGAGCGCGCGGTCGTCTTTTTGCCGCCACCCTAGTAGTCTAAGTATAGAAACGAGTTCATAAGTGTTTGCACGGAGCGGCTGCGCGCGAGTACGTAAATTGAGAATTCGAGGGTATAAAAATTTCACGGCGAGAAAAGAATCGTAAATCAGAGCCGAAAGAAAGGCCTCGCAGGACCAAAGAATATGAAAATTCCGGAAACTTAGAAATGAAAAAGTGTAAAATCCAAGGATACAAATAGTACTTTATTCTTGATAATTATAAAGCGTAAAAAATCGAAAATTGTGGCATACAATTCGAGTTACAAGATATTAAATATTTTAAATTATATAACTTGAAACATTAAAAAATACAAAATGTAAATTTCCAGCACAAATTGTGGAGTTAAAAACTTGGCTGAAAAAATCTAGCAGTGCTGGACTATGTGAATATATAATAAAATTTACAAATTTAATTATCCAAAAGCACAAGTTTCCGATTTACGGGAAACACATATACGATCGATGTACAGTGCATCTTCTGTGCAAGCCCGAATCGTAAAAATAAGGAAAACATATTTTGCAAAACATAGTCGAGTCGTAAACTTTGAACCCAGGTAGCGTCGAAATTGGACAACTGTTAGGGGAAAGTCTCGTTGCCATTTAGCTATCCCTATTACTCGAAAGACTTAACTTCTCATCGCTATAATAATCTTCGTTGTAATAATTCGCGCCGGTAACGATGCGTAAAAATAACGCATAATTATCATTAAGTTAATCATCGTCTTCCTGAAGTATTGCGTACCCGTATTGTGTGCTAGTCGAAAAAAGAACAGTGAAGAACACCGTAAACCTTGACCCACATGATAAACTTCGACATTCGCGCAAAAGCAGAAAAGAACGCAGGAAGACACCATTTTTTCACCATTTTTTCACCGTGACGATTAAACCCCATCAGTAATTTGCTGCGAAAGGTGAGCGCGTTTCTTCCGTCTTTATGCATTAGTGCATTTGTAAAAAACTGTAATTATTACATTTCATCGTAGTTAAAAGTTGATACATGGAGCAGATTAACTTTATCAGTCGTCAGAAATTAATTTAATCAACGCAAGCTATAACTGTAAACTATAATGTTATAACGGTAATATATTATGGTTTATAACTTTTTCCTTCGAAGTGTTACAACAGTTCGACGTAAAAAAACGTGTCAAACTCGAGAGAAGCTAACTGGGATATCCATTGCGAAGAAAGAAATTACATTACTTTTAACCTCATTAGCGACACGCTCAGCTGAAAATATATCTCAGCTGAGAAACGTACCGACTTGCCATTTTGCTCTGGTGACTCATCATCTTTTACTTTATCTTTTTCATAATATCCTAACGAGGTCCATCCAACCTCATGCATTAATCCAACCTCGATCAATTTCACTCGTTTATTATAATTCTAATTCTTCATTCTTTCTCTTATCACATATCACGCACACTGAAAGAAATATGTTGTATGTATTCAAAATTATTATCACTAGTATAACAAAGCATCTATTAGAGTTCTATTAGAGTCAAAAGAATTTTGCTAACTTTAATTGTTTCACTATGAAATTATAATCACAAGTATTAAACCATTTTTTCCTCTATACATGCCATTCCTCTACTATTCCTATACTATGACAAGCAAATATAGTCTCGCAAATGTTGGTGAGTGATGTTGCCTTATTTTTCATCACGTTTCCAAATTAGAAGGATTTCACGTATCTTATCCAAAAAAATATCGTTTGCTCACCTAGCAGATATTGGTCTTACGCGTACGGCCACTTTGATGTTCGCCATATTGCCGTCTCGCGGACGACAACGAGCGGCGTCATCCGGCTCCCCGCATCTCGCCGATGATGCTTGCTGCCGAAGAACGTTGGCCCGCTAATCGGTCGAGAGGAAAGAAGCCAAACGAGGTGACGAAGGACACGGGGACGCGATTACCGGCTCCTCGTGACTCGCATCTTGCAGAAGGCTGGCTGGAGCCGCTGCCGCGCGTCGATGGATCCCGCAGTGCGAACTGGCAACGAGTAGTCGAGGCGAATGTGTGCACCGGCTGCACCGGGTGCACGTGTTGCACTGCCGCGATGAAAATACCCTCGAGTCGCTCCCAAGACCATCCCGCTCGTGGTTTACCCCACCAGGAATGAGTGAGCGAGCGAGAACCTCGACGACGAAGCTCACCGTGCCATTTCGTCCGGACGTTACCCGACTCTTTGACCCCAACGACACCAGCCCAGGAAAAGGGAGCATCGCGAGTCACCGGTGAGTTGTGTGTATAAGGTGTTTCATAAGACGCCGCTTGACGGTACCATCGAGATTGAAAGAAGCACTACTTTCAAGATATCGCTATGCCGAAGCTGTTAGATTTAACGCTCAAGGATCGAAGGGCTGAAAAGAGTCTGCTAACGTAGAATTGAAGAATGGTATCGGGCATTCAAGGAGAGATATCAAACATACAAGCGGTTAGAACATACAAGCGGTTTGAACGACTAGAATCTGAAAATGTGTCGAATCAAGGATCAAGACATTTGAGAAGGATCTGGAGATTCGTGAATTTAGGGACTTGCAAACTAAACGAGTTCAACGATGAATTCTAGGTGTTCTGAAGCTAAAAATTGTGAAGACCCGAGACTTCAGTCCTAAGTGTGTGTAAACATCCAAGAAATATCAGGTATAAAACACGTAAAAAATATAATGGATAGAAGAATTTAAAGATCTACGAGTTAAAAAAATAAAAAATAATTTTCCAAAAGTCGCAGATGTCAAGACTTAAAGGAATAAGAATCCTAAATTCCGAATATCGACGAAGCTTTTCCCACTCCTCGTTTGTAAAAATTCTAAGATCCTGTTTTGAAAAATTCTAGAAAGTAGTCCACGTCGAAAATTGGGATCTTTAGGTACAGTGACGCTCCAAGGATTCAACATTTTTGAAAATATTCATCAGCATCAATACACTCTCATGACGAAAGACGAAGCGATCCATCGTCGAGATCGAAATCTGGATAAAATTGCAACTACCAGACTTTAACCCGGTTACAATCGGCCTCGTCGCGGAATACGTTGCAACTTACGAATCAGCCTGTAATTTAATAGACCGAACTCGGCAGAACGGGCAAGGACAAATCGTCGCTGTTGCGGTATCGCCGATTACGCTACCGTATTGTACAACGAGGGTACGGTCGCCGGTGTGTCTTGGTGTTTAACGGAGTTACTGGGTCAGTGTGTTGTGGGGGTAGCGACCGCCGCCGTGGTTTAACGTGGTTCCATCGGCCGGGAATTAATCAGAAGGCAATTTGCTGTGTCTGCGTTCGCCCGAAAGCGCCGGGCAACGTCTCATATTTAACAGAACATGTACAGCCAACGGGGAGAGGAAGAGAGATGCTGGTTGCGGACTATCGCGGCCGTTACGAGGTGCACTCCATTTCGCGTATCGCTGTCGTACGGTCTCCCTTCCCGCCGTAACCCCCGCGGCTTCGGGCGCGCTTCTTCATCCGCCTTTTATGCGGATCTTGAGAGCGCGCCGCGACTTTCATGTTGGGCCTCCTTTGATCCGCGCGTGTATTTTCGGGCTGACGGGCTTCGACTAGCGTATTCTCTGTGAAATGGAGCCCGCGCTGGATTGCCAATGTCGCTCGCTGATCCCTATTCGTCGCTCGTGGCCTTTAAAACCATCAGGTAGGAGAAGGACGTGCTGAGCACCTGCGAAGAACAAAATCACATTCCCCTCGCGATACGTTTCCCATTCGCCCGTTCTTCCGTCTTTAACGGAGCAGCGAACTCCCAGATGACATACGTGATTCTTTACTTTCCGAAAAATGGATAGAATTTATCTTCGCCATTATTTTATTGTTGTAATTTTTAATTACAGTACCGTGCTGCATTAATAACCGCTTACCTGAGCAAAACTTTCAAGCGACATGCTGTAGAATTTGGCAGCGGTGATTCTGGAGGGAACCGTCGACCGTAACATCACGATCTGCAGACTTCGGCCGAAAGTACCGCCGATCCAACCGCTGCTGTAAGCCGACTCGCCCACGGCCTCGCTCTGGTGTCCATTACAAGCGTTTGCCGTAAATTAATTAAAAGCGATTACGAGGTCAGTGAGCTGCGTAGCAATGAAGATTCATGCGTTGCTAATCGATCGACGCAATTATCGTGCATTAAACCAACCAGCGCTTGTTTACGCCCTTCGCATTCAATATTGATCTCGGTGTATCAAAAAAGATATTATATGTATGTATGTGCGCATTGTGAAAGAATATATTATAAATAAATTATGAAATGAATTATGATCATTTGCAAGAATAAGTCTATTCGAATGAGAACTCGCATAATAGCATAACATTACATCGATCTGAATCGATAAAATATATCAATTTTGTTCTACAAAACTTATATAAAATAATATAAAATAATATAAAATAATATAAAATAATATAAAATTTATGTAAAATATGCAAACTCCTTTTTACAATATTTTGTAAATTTATGGGTTTCTGGGTATTTTGTAAATTTATGGATTAACTTCATAAAAGAATGTATATATTTATGACATATGTTTAATATATTTGTGTGAAATATTTACGATATAGAATTTTTTTAACGATATAATAATCTCATGCTGTCGTATAGATTTGATTGTAGCGATTTCTGCTTGTATAAAAATTAATAAAATAAATCTAAGATAAGAAAACTTTGATAAGTCAATAAACGACTAATTAATTGCGGGCAAAATGTTTATCATTTTAAACGCGAGAAATATGTACGACCAAATTTTACAGATTTTAATCGAGATTGAAAAGAATACTCGCCTCAGTTATTAAGTTATTTCCGCTAAAACTGAACATGAAAAGTTCGACGATAGCGGCATTCAGGAAAGTCGAGTATTTTATCAAGCGTCCTTTGTTCTCCAACATCTAGAGCAATATTTTGCAATAATGCGGCCTTCTTAATAAACATCCTTCAGCACGTAAACTCACTGAGGTGATTTGAAATCCCGCGAAACAGACCAGACCAGTGCTGATGATAAACTGTCCTAACGCCAGGACGTTTATGAGCCTTTCCAGCGCGTCTGCGAAACTGAGAAGAGAGAATCCAGAGAATGAGCGAGCAACGATAATAGCGATCATTATTATGCACAAAACATTATAGGAAAAATACGTAAACAAGTCAATACAATTAAGCGAAAATAGTGTTTGTCGTAAACGATATATCGAGTCAATAATCAATTGAATAAATGTTCATTCAATTTTAACTTTGTTCAGTTTCCTAGAGAGAGAGTTTTCCTTTTAAAAAAAATTATTCTCCGTAAGAAACAAGAAAATATTGTCTGCGCTTCAACGTTTAATTCGCGAAACCTAATATTACATTCTCTAAATTTCTTAAAATAAAATCTCACCTAAAGCTCAGAATTGTAAGAGTAAATGTTTAATTTAAATTTTAAGTGAGAACTCTTAATCCATAAATGTTTCAGTCGACTAAAGTGAATTGAATTCTGCGAAGCTGAAGTACACTAGATTCACTCTTCAATTATAAATAAAAATACTCATTTCGCGATTTAGAATGGAAGAATGCACCCTATATGTGTAAAAAATCACTCAAGTATGAATGACTCGGTCACTTTGCTTTTCGAGTGGAATTACATTACTCTAAGAAATTTAAAGAAGCATCTAATCACGACATAACATCGACACCTACGCAATAGCATCCTGATGACGCTTGACGCAGTCAACCACAACTTTCTTGATGTCGAAATCATTGCTGCTCATCGCCTCGAGCCTCTTTCGCAGCACCGCGAATTTCGCCGATCCGTGTGTTATCGCAATCAGAGTAAAGCTGGTCACACTTGATATCGTGGCACCCACGGAGCTGCCGGCTATTACGTTGAAAACATAAAGGCACTGATAGACAGGTGTGACCGTCTGATTGACGAAGAAGTAGCCGCGAAACGGCAAAAGCTTTTCCTTCGCTCCCAGAATATAAATCTAGTCAAACAAATTTTGGCCTCCTTTAAACTTCTTAAAGACGAGTCTCACTGAGAACGAGTGAAAAATCACTCGAAACAATAGTGAAAATACGTTACTCGAAAAATCACAATATTTAATTTAAAATTATACATGAATAACAAATAAATAGTTCAGCTATTACTCTACTTTTCAAAAGGGACTGCAAAGATATTAAAAAGTTTCTTGAGGTCGATTAGTCAGATCGGATAAATGATTATTTCTCATCTCGATTAATTAAATATCATTTCGTTATTTCTATAGAAACGTTATGATTTAATAAAAAATGAAAAATCGAAAGCGTAAATAATTGACCGAAATTATGGAAATATTTATTATTAACCGTTTCTGTCGTTCTATTGAATTGTATTATTTGGAATTGATTATTATTAATTACATCGTATCCATTTCTAATTCAGTAAATGCTCCGTCACTGATTTATTAACAATTAAATTTCCCACGTATTGGAGAAATAAATACGGTTAAAGGATTAACGTCTCGCACGTACACGTGTGTGTGCAGGTGTTTTTGAAAGGCTCGTAAAGCGAAACGACCATTGGAAAACGATTCGCTTCGTAGAGGCACTACCGCAAAATTTGCGAAACGGTAATAAACGATTTCGGGGAAACGGTATCTTAGCCGGAAAAAAATAAAATTCGTAAAGCTACAAATGTCAACGTGAAACGTATGGCGTTGCATTGCCATATCGCGTACTTTACACGCCGATTCAACGTCGTTGTTTCGCGAAACACGAAATAAATATTCTCAAAGACGTTTTATAGTTCGTTCTTTCACGTTTTATTGTGTGCATTATATATTTATTTATTATTTCTGTTTTGACTTTCGTTTTTATTTTTTCCTTTTGGTTTTCTATCTAAAGTTTTTTTAATTTTTAAAAAATATCACAAACTCTTCAAAGTACAAATCACGTAAAAAGATATACCTTGCACATACCTCTAAAATCGGCACGCACGCAAACATGATTATGTTGGCGATTACCATAATTATAAAGCACTTTGCGAGCCGAAATGCGAAGATGCACTTTTCTCTCAGGACAAGCACGTCTTCATAAGACGACGTAATCCAGTCCTCCCTCATGATCTCAACCACGTACTGCAAGTCCTTTCGATGAAGTGTATAGATGATGAGACGTATGACAGAAAGATAAAAAGCGGAACAGATCAGAGCGCATTCCGTTAATTCGTCCAAATCGTCGTTGTGGTAAATCACATCGGCCGTCTCTGTGACGGACGCCAAAAGTAACTGTTACAAACGACACGTCACACGTCATTTAAGCTACGTTATGCACAAGCGCACAAAGCTAGTTTACCCCTTTATAGTGTCAAAGTCAAATGACTGAAATTATCGAATGGTTCCCAAGAGAATCTTGATTACCCAGCAACATCGACTGTTACTGTATTCCATTGAAACTGATTAAAAGCCGATTAAAGGCGGAATTTTAGAAATTTAGAAAGTACACACCACAAAAAATAACCCAATCAAGTGACAATTTTTTAAGAACGATGCTTTGGCGGTATGGTACTTTTCCAACGGCCAAATGGAGATTAGTTTGGAGACCATCCTGATGGGCTTGATGAAATTATCGTATTCGTCACTGATACACTCTTGACTTTGCATCTTTTCCTCCTCCATGTTATGTCTGATGTTTTCTGCGTGATACCTTACGACGTGATCGCCACTCATGACTTTCTGCGACTGCGGAAAAGCCGGAAGTACGAGGTCGGTCGAATTCTTCGGCGATCTCGTCGGCGAAATGTGAACGCGCCACGAAAGTACCAATCTTTTCCACTCCGCCATTCTCGAGATTCGATCCTGTACAGTTAGATAATAACCGGATATCATTTCCGTAGGTGGTATATAATTTCCGAAGTTCGAAAACTTTAGCTAACGGCGAGGGTGCAAACTTCTCGGTCACATAGACGTCAGTTTGTTTCTTTCTCCGCGCGAAAAAAAAAGAATTTTATTCTCTTTCTCTCTCTCTCTCTCTCTCTCTCTCTCTCTCTCTCTCTCTCTCTCTCTCTCTCTCTCTCTCTCCACATAAATTTTCATGCATTTCTGCGCAAGCATTTATCATCCAAATTGTTTCAGTCGGATATATTTTCGTAGATATACGCAATATTGTCGCGAAACGATGAAAGATGGATCCACGTTGTTTTCTTCGCTGTATGAATTAACGTTTAAGGTAGTCCAGGAGAGTCATAACAAGTTCTACGCCAGTGTCTTCGGAGCAGCTACGAATATTCTATGTAATCATCCCGAATGTATAGAACGTCGAAACGTAATAGATTATATATATTCCATCTTACTAAGTGATTTGCGACTTTATTATAGAGAAAGCTTAGCGTTAGGGATATCTGCGAAGAACGTTCCACACTTCGTGTTAAAAATAAGCGGAACGGCAAAGATGAGAAAATAAAAAATTATAGTATAGGAATATAATATAAAATTGGATATGTATGACGCATAGGATACACAAGTAAAATATTATAAAAACTGAAAATAAAATGTTATACTTTGTCACTCGCTGTTACTGTGTACAATTTATTATAAGTATATTTTACAAAAAGTAGTGGAACCAAATCTTAATTTATAAACACATTTTGGATAAAACCGTGCCCTATAAAGTTCGACTACTGCTTCTCGTGTATCTCTCATACAGCATAAATGTTCAAAATACATTCCAGGAACATACCAGAGATATGTGATATCTCTAGGATGCCTCTAGGATGTATTTTGAACATTGGAGTTGTATAGATTACCAATTAATGTAGAAAATATAGTGCACTTTTTAATTTTACTTTTTTTTTTAACGGAACATTTCTAGTGTTTCAAAATATCAATGTACACATCCATGTATCTATTACAATGTATATATATTCGTTTGTGTATTTAAAGTTTACTCGGCGTATTCTATTCGGTAAAAGATACTTGTAGCTATTTGTTTCTTCACACATATTTTAAGTCGACAGCAATTTTCAAAATAATTAAATATAAATATTTAATATTTATATATAATATTAATACATATATATAAATATTATATTATTATATCTCTGAGAAATCGTTGAGTGAACTACCATATTGAGTTTGTATAAAGAACTTTATTGTTGTGTCAAATAATAGAATTGATTCAGCCGTCTCCCAAGTCCTACTTGATTATGTGCAACTCTTCGTCGTTGTATATTGATATAGAAACTTTGCTGGTTGCTGCAAAAATATGGTAAAATTTCCGTAAAATATCATATGTAAGTAAGTAATGTGTAACAACAAAAATAAAACCATTATTCATTATTCTCTACTTTCTTTAAAATTATAAATTTAATTGAAAGTTTCAGAGGAACACTCTCTTTCTTTCTATCTCTTACCGTCAAAAGGATAAAGCGTCCGGCATCTCGATGGCGACTGTGCGTCACCTCGTCAACGTAATACTCCTACTATCACAGTTGCCAGGTAGCGACGTTCTCCATTCGCCGAGGCCAGATGGAATAATCATAAAACTGTGCAAAATGGGTAACATAGAGCGAAAAACGTGCTTATTGGTTTAGTACTTAGACCGACATTGTGAGAACATATTCTAGTGAAAAAAAATAGCACGCGACCTGATAAGCTAGACAAGAGAAACTCTAGATAAGTGAAAAAAACGATACTGTATTGTCAAAATAAGTTATCACAGCGGAAACCGTACTCACACGTCCTGACACAAGTCTTCGAGTAATAGGCCTCAAAAGTTTGGTGGCATATAATATTATTCTCTTATCAAAATAAGTTTGCCATGAAAACCGCATTTCCGTCAGATCACACGTTCTCGAGTAATAAGCTCCAAAAGTTTGTGGTATGTGACAGACATGTGTGAATCCAGATGTACGCGAAAAAAATTTGAAATTTATTTTCTCCGAAAGTTTGTCATGACACTGTTTTACTATCAAGATAAGTCATCGCCATGAAAACCGCATTCCGGTCCGATTATGCGTTCTCGAATAATAAGCTCCGAAAGTCATGTGACAGACAGATGTAAATCCAGGTGTGCCCGAGAAAAATTTGAAACGTATGACACTGTTCTACCATCAAGACAAGTCATCGTCGTGAAAACCGCATTCCCGTCTTATCACGCATTCTCAAATAATAAGCCCTGAAAGTTCGACGCCAGACAGACCAGTGAAATTCTAGGTTTGCGGAAAAGAATTTCTGACAATGAGTCTCTTCTACTGTTAAAATAAACATTAACGTAGCACCTCGCGTTCTCGACTAATAAACTCGAAAAGTTTTGGGTTAGTCAGGCAGATAAAATTCTAAGTACGCAAAAATGTAATGTCAAGGATAGGAGCCTTGAGTGTTATGAATATTTCGTGAAGTCGGTATGAGAGGCATTTCAGTTTTTTCGGATTTTGCTAATTGATATTGCATATTAAAATGATTGCAGACTTTGGACAGATAAGAAAATATTTCAACTTTTAAAGGGGTCCTATCCAAAGTTTCTTTGAATCTACGGAAGAAGCATCGATGATCGTATCAAGTTACACTTTGTTGATCACTTATCGCTATTTGGACGATAAAGTAAACCGCGCGTGGCCGTTGATATTTAAGCTTAATTAATAAAGTGGAATAAAGGAATAATATATTATCATTTAATAGTAATCCATGTCTATTAATATATTAATATGTCTACTAATATATTATGTAGTTTATAAATAAAATATAACTAATTTTCGTGGTCTCGTATAATCGCATCGATGGAGCTTTAGTTATTACTGAGATTTTAATCGCGAAAATTAGTAATAGTCCCATCCAAAAATGCAGGGTTATCAAGTAAATGCAATTGAATATATAAGTAATAAGGATCACATCTACAATCAACATAACTTATTGTCATGCGACCCGCTTATTAACGTGTTATCGACTACTACTAATTGTGAGAAAGTTATAAGAATAATTAAAAATTAACGAAGTTGCAAATACATACAACTTAATTCAACATTACGTAGGCTATTACCCTATCTTGTTGTCCTCCGTCCTGACTTCTCAATTGAACATTCTAGTGTAAAAGTTTGTATCAGAATTAAAATCCTAAATAAATATTCAAAGTGTCACAATGGAGCAATCAGAAGCTACCCAACAAACAAGATGACGTCAAGTGACGTCTTATTGACGTCTCTAACGTCCCTAATAATCTCTAACTTTAGACCAATTACGTTGGCTAATTACTCAACCGTTGTGTAACCGTTGTATCTCCTGAACGCTCCCATTAATACCATAAACGGGCGATACTCTATTCAAAGACTGCTTGTTCCGTACATACTCATTTCGGGCGCTTATTAGCGATATCTCGTCGTGATAAATGCACAACATTTACTTTCAGCAGTTCCGGCGATGATTCGGACACGAGACTCATTCGGCGAGCCAAAATCGAGGAAACAAAATGATTCTTACAATCAAAATACGTTAACCGCCACGTCGCGATCTATTTACTAGGGCTGCCAATTCACGAAAGCGAAATCAACGCCGACCGAGCGCTAGATGAGAAAATAAAGGGTATAATGAGTTACTAGACCCGTTATTTCTGAGTGACGTTGCAAATTAGTTTCAAAGTCGCCGCTGCGAGACGCCACTTCCTTGAACAAGAAATTGAGATCGTGATTAAACAATGAATAGAACACATCTTCGCTTTATCAAGTAATGGAGGATTTACATTATAAACTGACGTATGACGATACGATATCCAATAGTGGAGTTTCTTTGCTAAAGTTTTTAGCTAACGACGATTAGTTTTTGTCTCCAGAAAACTAATTCTCTTAAGCGTCTTCTACAATGGCAGTAGGAGTAGTAGTAAGAAATAAGCAGTAAGTAAATAGACCAATCACAATCGATTATTTTTGAAACGTGAGAATGGAATTGGTCAATTTGCTTACTGCTTATTTCTTACTACTACTCCTACTGCCATTGTAGAAGACGCTTTAGAACCGTGGCACACAAAAAAACTTAAGCAGTAAGACGTAAGCAGTAAACAAATTGACCAATTACAGTCGTTGATTCTTGGATCGTAAGAAGAATCGATGACTGTGATTGGTCAATTTGCTTACTGTTTACGTTTTACTGTTTAAGTTTTTTGTGTGCCACTAGCCTTACTCCTTGTCCACAATCTTGCTTTAATTCTTAACCCGTAAGAAATTGACCAATCACAGTTGATTATTTTTAAAATAATTGACTATAGTTAGTCAATTTATTACGGCTTAAAGATTAAAGCAAGGTTGTGGACAAGGGGTTACTTCTACTAGTAGCTACTTTTACTGTTAGTCAAAAACAATTCCGAGTGGAATATTTGGCTCACTATTAATTAAGAATAAATAAAATTTTATTAGAAAACAATACCAGATGATTTTATAATCAATAATACAATTTTACAAAATTATCTCGTATATTTGTCACGGTATTGTTCTGTCTAACCCACTGCTTACAGTCGTGAGACAGAATTGGCTTCTGCACACAGGACGCGATAATGCTTGCTGCGCGGCGGAAGTTTGCGCGACAGCCAATCAATATATGTTGTTTTTCCGTTGGAGCTAGAAGGTTATTACGGAAAGCAGCATATTGATTGGCTGTCGCGTGAACTTCCGCCGCAAGCATTACTGCGTCCTGGGGGTCGATTGTGTATCTCAAAACAGAGTGAAAATAACAAAAGTGAGCAAATTTACTAGAATATTTGTAACTTCATTGGTCAATGCCAAGTGAATTTGTTCACTTTTGTAATTTTCACTTCGTTTCGAGATACACAATCGACCCCCTGTATGCAGGAGCCATTAGGTAGCTTTGGGTTGTCATGAATCACATAATAGCAGTAGATGGTGATGTCTGTAACTTATTTCTGCTCTAGGAAAACGACTCGGAGAGGTATTATCGGAAACACCCACTGTGTGCACACTACTAGACAATAGCCGTTGGAGTGAGCGAAATACAAGAATGAGATAAAAAAAGAGGGAGAGTACTCGAGCGACGTTTCCGAACGCAGTCCTATTGTAGATCGGGACTTAATAAATACAAAAAGCATGCTTCATCGCTCATTTAAAAACATCAATATCAATTTTTACAAAAAATATCTGTATAATTTTATTTTTAAATTTGCACAACAAATTTGACAATTTTGTATCCGATTTTTCTCTAACAAATGTTTTACATATTCTTAGAATTAGAATATATTATTTTACAAAATATGGTAAAAAACCATTGGATAATATAAAAATTGTCCTAGAATTATTAATAAATTTAAAAGAATTTTTAAATTAAGATTTAAAAGAATTTTTAAATTAAGATTTAAAAGAATTTTTAAATTAAGATTTAAAAGAATTTTTAAATTTAAAAGATTTAAAAGAATTTTTAAATTTAAGATTATTACAACATATTGGTATTTATTTCTGTTTGAATTTAGATATAATAAATATTGTGCGAGATACTTTTAGAGTATGTTAAAATCTAGGATATTTTAATTGTTGTGGAAACTTTGCACCAAGTATATCAAGATTGTATAAAGAATATGAAAAATTAATTAAGATAGATTTATTTACAAAGATTATGAAATAATATATATATATTTTTTATGACAATTATGTCAAATGCTTTCCACTTCCTGATAAACAGTATTCTTTCTAGAGATACTTTATTACATTAAATAAAAAAAGATATATATTTTTTTTTTATTTTTCGCAGTGATTTCACTGGCTTGTATGTAGAATTAATAATGTTCAACCCATTACAACAGCCTAAGATATTTTACGCGAAATCAGTCTTTCCCAAACTGCAATTTATTGGGAGGCTGATCGACGCGATAAAGTGTACCTGCTAAATTAAAATAACCTTCATACTCGATAGTATCTGGTGTCGTATCGATATGATAATGTCCTGCCATTTTATTGTTATGAGCAAAACTATGAAAATGTTGAACTCTGAGATCCAGTTCCTGAAAAGGTGTGAACAAAAAATTTCAGTTTGGGATAAAATAAAGTTGAACACATAAGTGATCATTTCAAACTAACTTATAAATTACTATTCTAAATGTTTGTAGTTATTTACGAGAACCCAAAAACTTTCCTTTGGATATAAAATGTTCCAAATAAACTTTTTGTACCAATGTCTAAAATTCTCTTTCTTTGGATTTTTAATATCTTCGGTATATTTATTCGGATTTTTATTCTCTTCGGTATATTACTTACTGTTTCAGCACTGACAAATGTGCCAACAGCTGTCAGAGGAGTTTCCATCTCATAGAAACGTAACCAGTTGTTAAGTTCAGTCTCAGTAGTTAATGGAGTAGCCGAAAAATCTTGCATAACATGTTGTTTTATTTTCCCGTTTCTCATAGTAAACACACCACCTAAACCTAAATTTGCAGGTAGACATTTGAAAGCAGTTTATAGAATAATTTTTGAAATTTCTATGCTATGATTTAATTCTATAGTTCTGACAACATAGTTCAGGATAAACCTACCGACAAGTTCATTCTTGTAGCGGTTTCCCAATGCTCTCTGCATACTCGCTATAAAATCTAAATTTCCAGTGCGTTTTTTAGCACATACTTTTATAACAGTTCCTGGTTCACCTTCACACACATACAAATTAGCCAATAATGGGTTATTTGCTTGGTGCTGTTCACTACAGCCTAGTTGTTGAGGAACCATACATTCTCCAGTGGACTTATCCACAAATGCATAATATGAATTATTTATTACTGAGCCTACCCGTGTATCTATGTTATAATGTATAACGAGCTGTAATAAGAATCTTGTAAATATTTCTAATTGAAATTAGAAGTGTCAGTTTAATTGATATAACTTTTATTACAGCATATACCTCACAATTAGTCCCATCAGTTTTGTGTGGCCATAGTCCAGCTCCTGCACCTATGACAAAAGCATTTCCACAATAATCTATGCGGCGCAGTAATGTTTCAACATTATAGAACTTATCCCTCTGAGCTAAAGGTAGAAGGTATGCTGGACCACCAATCTCCAAAATAATTGGATTACCACATAAGTCTGAAAACATGGTTTATTAATTCAAAAGTATATGATTTAACAGAATTCCAGGTTATACTTATATCTTTTTCTTATTAGTACCATATCGATTAGGCTTTCTTTCAATGTCCTGTGGACATCTACCAAGCTCAACAGTGACTTTCTCAAAGTTTGTAGTCAATCCTTCCCTCAGAACTACCATTACACAATAAAATTAAGGTCACATATATAAGGTCATTATCTTTAGCCAAAACCATCCAATTACAATTTACAATTATGAATATTTTATAGTTACCATTCATTAATTCATCAAGAGGAGGTTGATGTAATGATCTCTTTGCAATATTCAGCTTGTCTGAATCCAAAGGTGTCTTTTCCATTTTGGAAACAAATGTTAGTACTGCAGTTTAAATTGAACTGTTTGTCACGTTGTTTTGAGCAGTAATATCATTATCAACTGCAATGTATATATATAGATACTGATAGTCTTATCTAATCATATGGTACGGCTCCATTTTTTATACCAATAAAATTCATCAATTATATAAAAGCTGATAATATAAAAGAACCAAAATACTGATTATTTCATAATATATCACGTTATTAAAATACTTGCCATGGAAAAATTTTATTAAATTATTTCTTTAGATGCTACTAAAAAGAAAAGATACTAACGAAATAAAAACAACGACTGTCAGTGTTGGATAAATATTGTATATGAAAAGTGGGCCTAATGGGCCTAATGATAATTGAAGAACGATGACATTATCGACCATTCTTAACCAATCAATATAAATACTTATGTTTGGCGTCATTTTATGTGTAATAAAGTATTAATTTTACAATTTACAATTATTTAATATCATTATATGTCTTGTAGTTATACATACAAATCCATAATGAGAATTACTATAAATACATATGTACAAAATTTACCAACAGGAGATTAAACCTCAAAAGTTTTACGTTTACACGTTAATAAAAAATATAAATGCGATTTTAGCTGTTGCTAATAATTAATTAAAAAGTTATTAACAAAAGAAGTTTAAGTTAATTTAGGTAATTATTTAGGTAAAAATGCTATCTCCGACGAGATCCTTGCTCGTTACATGTCAAGGATATTCTACTATTATTCCCTAATATAAATGTTTAATAAACTATGTATATATAAACATTTAATGAGCCTTCTACAATAAATCATTAGTCATAAGCTGCAAGCAAATTGATCAATCACAGTTGATTATTTAAAAAAAATAGTCAATTGTTGTTGGTTAACTTGTCTATAGCTTATGACTAATGCATAGACGCATGTAATACTACTATATTGCTAATCGCCCTATCTACAATAGGTTTAGTAAGCTTTAAACCTTAAGAAATTGACCAATCACAGTGGAATTATAGAGGAATAATTAATTGTGATTGGTTAATTTCTTACGGCTTAAAGCTTACTACACCTATTGTAAATCGGGACTTATGCGCGCATTGCCTACAATATACGTAACACGAACTATAGCGATAAATGCGCGCATATGTGTGAAACGGAACGCGGCCCTAGGCTGCGTTCCTAAATTCACTGTCAGTACTGAAAATCTATAGTTTATGTTACGTATACTATAGAATTTCAGTACTGGCAGTGAATTTCGGAACGCAGCCCTAGTTTAGTATTGACATCTGTGGTGGAAGTGACATCTGTGGTGGAGATACAAGAACGAGTGAGAACGAGATAAAGAGAGAAAGAGAGCACTGAGTGATGTTTCCGAACGCACCTTCTAACATAACCTGTTGGGGAGATTGTTTTGATTGTCGTGATTTCATCGCAGCCAAAGATCTCACGGGATATGAATTGCGATAATAAAGATACGCGATAGTAACGAAAATGGCTGCTTCTTATCTAAGCGTGAGTGATATCGTTCACTTGAATGTTGGCGGTACTAGGTATGATCGTTATCCATCAATTATTGCTGTTTACTTTTCATTCTTGTACGTGCGAATTCTTTACATATGTATGTATGTATGCGTGCATGCTCTGGACGCTATTATTAATCTATTACTTTATTTTTTAAGATATTAGGGCAATTTAAATTATTGTTAAAGACTATCAACAAAAATGTAAAAAACAAAAAATTCCCTCTTTCAGATTTTCCACATCCCGCCAAACACTGACATGGATCCAGGATTCATTCTTCACAGCTTTGTTAAGTAATAGGATTGACAGTCATAAGGATGAAACTGGTGCTCTTTTTATAGATAGAGACCCAAAACTATTCTCTATTATATTAAATTATCTGCGTACAAAGGACATTGATTTGAGAAGCATAGATATCCGTACTTTGAGGCATGAGGCTGAATATTATGGTATTACTCCTTTGGTTAAGCGCTTGATGCTCTGTGAAGATTTGACTCAGTCATCCTGTGGCAATGTATTGTTTTATGGCTATTTACCACCTCCAAGTAAGAAATGTGTTATTAATTACAATAAATTAATTATAAGTTTGATTTTGAAACTATAAAAATAAAGCAGACTTATATGCTTAGAATATAAATATATGCAAAGGGAAAGAGCTTCTACAAGGGGGGCTTTATTATATATTATTGTAATCAGAGAAATATCACTGTAACATGGCAAAAACCACAATGATTTATATTGTTTTAAAGGTATTCCTCTCCAAGAGCCTGTGACAGTAACATCGAATGTTAGTGATGTATCTGTTCATATTAGAGTTGTATCTAATACAAACTCCAGGATTGATGGACCATCTACCTCACAATCTACAATTGCTGCTAGTTCCATTAATCAAAATGTTACTACTGGTAATTAGGAGTATTCAATAATAATTGAATTTAATGTGTGTGAAAAGTTATATATCTAATATATCCATCTTATTTACATGAAATAGAAAAGATATATTTAAAAGGGAGAAACTTTGAAATTGTTACAGGTCAACAAAATCATAAAGCAACTCTGGGAACTCACATAAGGAATTCCTCTTTAGATTACCGATTACCACAGCGTGGTCTCCCACATTCTCGCACACCATCCTTAGATCTGAGACATGTTAGAAACAATTCGGCAGATTTAAATAAATTATATAGAAACGACGTTAGTTTGGTATTTGGGCAACAGCAAGGTAAGCATTAATGAAATGTAATGTATAATACATAGCAAAATGCAATACTCTTTTTCTTTTTTTTTTTTTAACCAAAAAAGACAATAATATCTCATTGATGAAAATTTCCTTTCTCTACTTGAAAATATGTACACTGACATTAATGTCAACATTTTAATTTTGAACTATACTTATATAAACTAATATAAACTATATAATAAGTATATATTATATACTTTGACCTTGATTTTTTGCCTATTAAAACTCAAATTTCCTAATTGGCAAGTCACTTTTTATTTCCTTCATTTTTAACAAAATTATTTTTTATGCCCAGTTTCGTCATGGGTGGATCCATTAAGGGTGCAAATCATAAAGGCACATCACAACTGGATAGTGATCGCTTACGCGCACTTTATAACATGCTACCGACTGAAAGACTCGTCCGGATGGCAACATGTGTTCACCAGTCCGCACATCGAGTGCATAATAGAGCGTGTGGCTATAAACGCAAAGATGGGCGTTTCCGATGGTAAAATGGTCGCCATATCCTATGGCAGCCAAGTAAGGCTTTGGGGCGTATCGGAGGAAGGGATCAGTAGATTGTCTAAAGTAGGCACGTTCAATTTGAACGTACGCGTGGAGTATCTGTTCTTTATCGGCAGTCAGTTGGTTGCATTATCGCCAACCGGAAAAATCGGTGTATGGCATGCGATGACTCATCACTGGCAGATACAGGATGTAGTACCTATCCTGTCTTTTGACACGGCCGGGTCCTTCCTCCTGTTAGGTTGTAATAACGGGTCCATTTATTATATCGGTAAGGTATTAAAGAACTTTATAGAACTGCGATAATATCATTCACAGTCTGTATTTGTAACTAAAAAAATGTTTTGGAACGTTATATATATATATATATATATATATATATATATATATATATATA